AATGAGGAATCCACAACCTCTCTGGCCATCCCCTTTTTTTGACTCTTGTTGAAACATTTCCATGAAGATTTTGTTACCCGTTCCAGCTTTGCCTCTTCCTACAGAGCAGCTGAGCTTGGGGAGTTGCACAATTCATTTTTAAACCTTCTCCTTGTGGCAGGATGAAATTTTTCCACGTGGATGGGAGAGGTTGAAATGCCCTCTGATCATCCCAAGCTCCTGGATACAATTTCATTGCCTTGATTTATGTAAGAGTGAAATAATGGTTACCTGTCAGGATTGTTCTCTGGAGCATTCACAGGTTTGAACAACCCTCTCCCCACCCTTTATTGAACACAAATCATGCACAGTTAAAGGACTTTATTCTCCAAACACGTTTGGCCTCGCTCAAGTGGAGCCTCTTGGTGCTTTTCATGGCTCTTGAAGACCAAAAACAGAAGAAAGGAGCTGCAATTTTTTATCTTACTTAATCCCCCCCCAAAAAAAAAAGTAAATTTCAACTTCACGCCCAACCCAACTTCTTGTTGCTGTTTGGATTTTCGAATATCTTGAGCTGTTTAGGCAAAAAGGTGTCATGGCTCTGCAGTGCACCTGGATGAGAACAAAAGCAGCTGGAATATTTGTGGATTTATGCACATTTGAAGTATTTTCTGCTCAATTGATTGTCTTCTTCCACTAGATGGGGCTTTCTTCATTGATGAGTTCAACCATTACTTAGCCTTCAAATTCTTATCCCCATTTAAAAGTGTGGATGTGCCTCAAGGATCAAAGCCCTGAAATGTTTGGGATGTTTGTTTTATTTTATTTTTCCTTTCCACCTTACCTGTTTTGGAATTTTGGTGCTTTTTTAGAGGCCTCGAGCAAAGCTGGTGATGTGGAGGCACCAGAATCCACCAAATCCTTTATTGTTTTAAATTTAATTAAAGATAATTAAAGACAAAGCTCCCCCCCCAGCTCTCTGTGGATCATTCCCATCCTTGCTGTGTCACAGTTTGGTCACTAAAATCCAACTTTTTGGGGTTTGATCTTGTCCTGCTCCTTCTGATAATCCTCATCGTGAGTTTGCCCTGCTGAGGAGAGCCAAAGCAAATTCCCCCATTTCCCTGGTCTTAAAAATGAACATTCAGATAGCAAAAAAAAAAATTAAATTAAATTATTTTTGTAGAATTACCTTCATGAGGACAACGTGGAGCTCCTCCTGCACCCTCTGTGGTTCCCTCCAGGTGTTTTCTGCTCCTCTCACCTCTGCTGTTCCTCAGAACATTTTCTTTCCCTTGGATCTTCCACCTGCACACAGGGAAACTTTTTGGGGCCAAAACCTCTTCCAAGGCCACCACATCTTCACTGTTCCCCTTGGCTCAGGGTTGTATTCCAGGAGGATTTCAAAGGGAATTTTCATCCAGGTTCCTTGAAGTCCTACAACAGATTTGAGCATCCTTAGGACTCCAATTTCAAACAATTTCTGGCTTGAATATGGCAAATTTGAGAAATTAAACCTGGCTCTTTTTATTTCCCTCATATGCAAAGGCACGTCCTCCTTTATTTGAGACCATCTCACATTTTAATTTATTTTTTTTTTGGGAGTTAATGCATTGTTTTAACGTGTTCCAGTCTGCTCCCCTGCATTTAAATCATCCTTGTGTTTGCAGTCAAGCAGGAGGACAAAAATAACTGCGGGCTCGTGGTGAATCAGTGGAATTTTCCTGCATTTCTCCCCTGGTGACTCCTAGAGAGCACAAATGCTTTTTGCATTTCTGTTTGCAAGAACGAGGTGCTTTCCCTGCTGCATTCCTGTATTTTTCCCTGGTTTTGTCTCGCTGGGATTTGGGGTTGTTTACTCCACCAGCAGCAGCCTTGTGGGGTCATAGATCAGTGCTTGCAATGAAGGTTTGAGGGTTTAAAAACCCTGCTGGCAGCTGATTTCAGTGTGGAGATTTGAGGGGAAGGGGTTCAGATCTCCTCAGGGATTTCATTGTCCATTGTGTTGCTCATTGTTTTTCCAGCCCTTCTTTCTTTCCTGAAGAAATCCAATTTTTTTTCATTTTTTTTTTCCTCCCTTCCCTCTTTATTTTCTTTTGTTGTTGTGGCAGAGGGAAGCAATTGGAGAGAGAGAGAGAGAGAGAGAGGTGGTTGTTTTTTTTGAAGCCCCACGTTGTTCCCAGTGCCTGCAGTTTTGATAAAATACCTTTTTCCTGCGAGGAGTCAGAAAAGATCTGCTGGAACAGCTCATCCTCCCTTCCCCCCCTGCTCCTCCTTGGCTTATCAACAGTGCGTCAGTGGAAATTTCCACCCTTTGCTAATGGCAGAGAAAGCACAAAGTTGCAAAGCAGCCTTTGGAGGGGAAGGAGGGGGGAAAAAACAAAATAAAAAAAAAACCACAAAACAAAATAAAAAAAAAAAAAACCCAATCCTGTCGCCGTTTTAGGAGCGCGATGAAAAGCGAGGCAGAAATGGAATTAAATTGTGGATGGGGAGCAATGGGATCGGAATCACCAGCTGCAGTTCCTCCCCCCATCCTCCTTCCTGGTAGGTGAGAGGATTTGGGAGGCTGCTTCCCAAGGAGGAGAGTTCAAATGTCATCTGCTAAATTCCCCAGTGGGCTGCAATGGCTTTAGCAGAGAATCCCGCGTTTTTCAGGGCGCTGCATCCTCACATCCCGCTGGGCTGCGCTTCCACAAGATTGGCCAGGCTGGAAAATGCTTCCTCCCCCAGTCCTCTGCCTTCTGGAGCCCCCAGAGCAGCTTCCCAAAATCCCAGAGATGCTGGGGGGCTTTGCCAGGAGGAGCCAGCCCAGCAGAGTTCCTCCAAATCCCTGGGATGAGCGATTCCCGTAGCTCAGGCACCCTGGAATGCCGAGCTGGAATGGGCTGGTGCTGCTCCCTTGGCTTCAGGGACAGCCCATTCCAGCTGGGCACCTCTCCTGGAGGAACCTCAGCAGTAGGGTTTTAATTAGGATTTTTTTACCATTCAACCTATCCCATAAGGAATTCTGGAGTTTCTGGAAAGGATTTGGAGATGATTTGAGGCTGTTACGTGGATGCTGGTGTGAGATCAGGGTGATGGCTGAGGAAAAGTGTCATTCCCATGTTTTCCAGGGATGGATTCTGTAATCCAGTGGTGCTTCTTGAGTCATTCCTGGCCCCACTGCCAATATTTGGGATGTGATGCAAAAGAATGAACCCAGCACAGCCTGAAGGAGACGAGCAGGGTTTGTTCACAGCCTCCTGGATTTCCCCTTCAGATTCCCAGTTCCCTTCTGGTCTTGGAGGATTTTCCCTCCAGGATCAGCTTGGTGAACAAGGGATGCTGCTGCTGTGGTTCACTGAGGAAAAATCCAAAATTCCTGCAAAGTCCTCTCTGTCAGGAGCAGTTTTGAGATGAAAATGGGATAACGTGCCTTCATTTAAGGGATGCCATTTTTGGGTTGTGTGGTGCTCCATGGGGAGGTGGGATTGGAGAATTGTGGGATTCTGGAATGGGTTGGGTTGGAAAGAACCTTAAAACCCATCCATGGAATGGTTTGGATTGCCAGGGACACCTCCCACTGTCCCAGGAGCTCCCAGTGTCCAGCCTGGCCTTGGGCACTGCCAGGGATCCAGGGGCAGCCCCAGCTGCTCTGGCAATTCCATCCCAGCCCCTGCCCACCCTGCCAGGGAACAATTCCTGCCCCAGATCCCATCCAGCCCTTCTCCCATGAAATGTTGTGAATGAAGCAGCACTGCCTGTAAAGCTGGAACCAGAACTTTTAAATCATTTTCTCCAGTTTGGAGAGACAATTCCCAACAGACAGGAGCCAGGGAATGGCTCCCAGCGCCAGAGGGCAGGGCTGGCTGGGATCTTGGGCAGGAATTGATGCACAGGATCTCTTGTGTCCCCTGGCTGGAACAGAGCAGGGAAGTGCAGGACACCCCATTGCTCCCTCAGGTGTGCTGGAGCCAGAAAAACCTGGAAAACTCCAGCCCAGCTCCTGAGGAAGGTGCAGATCTTCAGGAGATGAATTTATTGCAGAAATAACTTTGGCAATTGAGATATCAGTGAGGAGGCACACTCTGCTTCCTGCAGGGTGGTGGTGGCTGTGTCCTCATGGACACCAGGAGAGCTGTGGGGACACCAAAGGGCTCTGCTCCTGGCACAGGGACAGCAGCAGGGATTTAGGCTGGGTTTTAGGGCACCCAGAGGCTGCTGGCACTGCCCAGGCTCCCCAGGGAATGGGCACAGCCCAGGGATGCCCAGGCTGGGCTTGTTGGGGGCACTGGGGGTTCATTCCCACTCAGGACATTCCATGATTCAATCCCACTGCTGGATGCTCATCAGGCTCCAGCAGGTTGAAGGTTTAAGCTGTGTTCACATCTAAGATGTGATTTGGGATAAATCCACCTCTTCTTTTTTTATTAATATTTATTTTTCACATCTGCATTCAGCTCCGAGGCAGAGCTTTGCAGAAGGAATTTTTGTGTGTGTGAATGAGCTTGAGATGTTTCCCACTGGCATCTGTTCCCCAAAAAAACCCCTCAGGAATTTGAGGAAGGAGCTGCTCCTGCCATCCTGCCTTGTTTTAAAAATTGTCAAGATGTGGGAATGATTGGAAGAGGGAAAATCAAATTCCTCAATCCCCTTGGGTCAGCAGTGCTGGCCAGAGCTCCAGGAGTGTCGGGACAGCATTCCCAGGGAAAATCTGGGATCTGTGCAGGGCCTGGATGATCCTGTGGGACACATTCCTGCTCAGAATATTCCATGATTCCAACAGAATTCAACTGAACTTTTCATCATTGAAAATTTCAATTTCATCACTGAAATCAAGCTGACATTGAGCTTTTATTCCAAACAACCCAAGCACCAAAATCCAAAAAAAAAAACTTAGGAACTCCCATTTACAAAAAAAAAAATCTCACAGGAGCAGAAAAAACTTAAGAATTCCTTTAGGAAACCTCCTTATTTCCTTGAATTTCTGCTGTTGCAGCTCAGGTATTTTGGTTTATTTGGTGTGTTTGTCATTGCAGGTATTTCCTGATAGATTTGGAGGCCCCCCCTTCCATCGTGTCCCCCATGATGGATCATTTGGGACGGGACATCGATGTCATCAGAAGGGCTTTTATCAAACACCCCCTGGCCAAGGCAGAAGAATGTGGTGGCATCATCCCAGTCAGTCCTGAAGAGAAACTCTCCTCCAAAAAAACCTGAAAATCTCAAATGTTTCAAACCTTTCTTAATCCTTTTTTTTTTTTTTTTTTTTTAATCGCTGCTGTGGAAAAGAATTGTGATAATTCCTGTCCAGCATTAAAAAAAAAAATCCCTTTATGACCAGGGGATGTGTGTGGTCTGTCACAGTATCCTCATTATTTTGGTTCAAATAATTGGAATGGTTTTAATCTGGGTGCTTATCTTGATATTTGACAACTCTGCAAATTGATTTGCTTTTCTCTCAGAGCATTACATTGATAATGAAGATTTCTCCAGCAGCAGGAGGCTATAAATAGCATTTTTTCCAGAGATTACTCCAGAATATGGATATTTACAGGAGAGATTAAGATGTCTGCAGTGGAAATATAAAAATCTAGGATATGATTTGGTGGGGGGGTTGTTTTGGAGGGGAAAAAAAGGCAATAAAAGTGTGGTTAAAAATAAAACCTGACACGTTTTTTGGTTTTTTAAGTATTAAAAAATCCCAAAACCTTCACTGCCAAAAGCCACCTCATGGTCCTCGAGGTAAATAACGTTCAAAGCACAGGTAAAAAAATCCTTTTTACAGAATTCCAGGTGGGAATTAGAAACCCCCCCAAGCTTTTTTAGGAGCAGGAGAATCAAAGATGTTTTTTTTTGCCATCAAGTGGACGTTTCAAACTGGGAAAAACATCAGAAAAAAGTGTTCATGTGTCCTTTTTGTCTTTCTTTTGTTGAAAACAGGAGGAAAATCAGTGATATTGTTGTTATGTTTAAAGACCTCCTGCTCTCTGATGTAAATCCAGTGGTTGGATCATTCCTAGGGGGGTTTTGTGGTTTTTTTTCTTCCTTGGATGTGGAATTTTGGGAAGGAAAAGAAGCCAGAATATCTTCTGAATATCTTCCTTTTTTATACATTTTTTTAAATGCATCAGAAAAAAAAGTAACATCTTACATCTTACGTTAAGAGTTATGAATGTCTGGATTTGTGGGGTTGGTTTGTTCAATTTTCATCATGTTTTTTTATTTTTATTTCAATCTGATTTTTTCTTAATGCTCTTTTTTCCTGGAAAAATCATTGGAAGAACAGAGGGAATGCACTACACACTCCCTGAAGCTAAATCTGTATTAGAGGTGCTTTTATCCAGGCAGAGCTTTCCTTATCCATGATTTTTCCTTGTGGGACACACCTTGCTCCCACCCAGGGATGAGCTCAGCCAGGAGGAGCTGTGGATTTGGGAATCTGTGCCCTGGGTTTGGCTCCCTGAGCTGCTAAAAATTCACATTTTTGGTGTAGAAAGTGCCAGCTGCAAGAATGTTTCTTACTCAGGGGTTTCTCTGAAGGTTTCCTCGAACAGAAAGTGGACAGAAAACCTGGGGTTTAAAGGGATTTTGCCTCTGACCTGGAATTTGGGACCTGGATTTGGGTTGAGTAGGGAGGGGAATAAATAAGATTTCAACTCTGCTATGTGAAGCTCAGCAAAGGCTGGAAATGTAAAAATGTTATTTGTCCTTTTTCAGTTTCCTTGCTGTAGTTTTGAATTCTGCATTTAATTTGTCCCAGTTTCAAGGTTGATGGAGAGGCTGAGAATCAACCAAACCGGGAAACAAATCTGTCTGCAGCTGAATTAGAAATGTGGAATTGTGGATGGGTTGGGAGGGATTTTAGGGATCATCCAGAGCCAGCCCTGCCATGGCAGGGACACCTCCCACTGTCCCAGGTGCTCCCAGCCCCAATGTCCAACCTGGCCTGGGATGGGAAATCCTCAACCTTCCAGGAAGAAGCAATTCAGAATCAATTAATTAAATTCATTTATTTAATTAATTAAACATTTTCCTTCAAACTGCAGAACCTCTTCTACCAACCACAACACATTCCAGTAAAGGCTTCATTGTAACTCTGCAGAATTCTCCTGATCAGAAACTTGCTGAGCAAGAGCTCCCCAGAAGCCCCAGTTGTGTCCCAGCCATGGCTTCCTGATGTGAATTCATTTCATCAAGTTCACTTTGTGTGTTCATTAGAATTAAGAGTGGAAAGGAAAGAGAATGAAATCCAAACAAAAACGGACCTGGAGGGAACATCTCCCCTTCTTCCTCCTTCTTCCCTGCTTTTACAGCCTGGGCACGGCACCTCAGGGGCTGCGATGTCCCCGTGGTCACTCGGGGTCCCTGCCCAGCTCTGGAAGGAGCTGGAGTGGCAAATCAGCCAATTTCCCAGAATTGTGGAATCCTGGAATCCCTGGGGCTGGAAAAGCCCTCGCAGCCCAGGGAGTCCCAGCTGTGCCCGATGCCCACCTTGTCCCCAGCCCAGAGCCCTGAGTGCCACGTCCAGCCCTTCCTTGGGCACCTCCAGGGATGGGCACTGCAAAGCTCCCTGGGCAGCCCCTGCCAAGGCCTGAGCTCCCTTTCCATGGGCAAATTCCTGCTGCTGTCCACCCTGAGCCTCCCCTGGCCCAGCCTGAGGCCGTTCCCTCTCCTCCTGTCCCTGTTCCCTGGCAGCAGAGCCCGACCCCCCCGGCTGTCCCCTCCTGCCAGGGACTTGTGCAGAGCCACAAGGGCCCCCTGAGCCTCCTTTGCTCCAGGCTGAGCCCCTTTCCCAGCTCCCTCAGCCCCTCCTGGGGCTCCAGCCCCTTCCCAGCTCCGTTCCCTGCCCTGGACATGCTCCAGCCCCTTCAGGGCTCTCCTGCATTCAGCAGGAAAATCCTGGATGCTGTTTGAGCCCTTCAGTTTATTCTGGAATATTTGCCACCATTTGGGGTGAATTAGGACCATTTGTGTCCCAATTTCTGAGGGATCCATTCCCTATTTTATCCAGGTTTGGGGGATGGCAGGAGCAGGACTCCAGCACCGGAGCTGTCTCAGCACCCAGGTTTGTTTATAAACCTCTCCACAGCTGCCTCTCAACTGCAGCTACTATTTTTCTCAAAATGGATAGTTTCTAACAGGGACTTCTAAAATCTTTTTGTTGTTTGAATAGGAGGTGGAGTGGGGAGTTCCAATTTGTTAATCCCAGTCAGCTCCCAGACCAAGAGTTGGATATTTTGGGAAGCTGCAACGCCAGAATGGAGGTGAGGGGCTCAAAGTGGAGCAGTCCTGGGACTGAGCAAACAGCTGTGCCAGGATAAAAAGGCTTTATTGTGCCCTGAGGGATCATAAATCCCTCTGGAGGAAGGGAAACCTTGGGATGAGTTCCACCTTTTTTGATTGTCCATAGCCCAGTTTGTCCAGGGGTTCTGAGAGGCTCTGGATCTCTAAGAGTAAAATTTCAGGACACTGCAGAGCCAGAGGAGCTGTGCAGCCAAACCATGGCCTGGAATGTCCAATTTGAGAATTGAGTGGACAATTCCATGGCCATTCCCAAAGGCCTGAGCAGTTGGAATGCCAGGATTTGAGTTTTGTTTCCCAAAGAATCCAATAGTGAAGCTCCTCAGCCCTTCCTCAGGTTGTCTGAGGGTAGAAAATGAGGAGTTTTCTGCTCCTAAATCCTCTGGGTTTTTTGTTTAGGGATTTTTTGGGATACACAGCCTTGGGAAAAATGATTCAAATAACAACTAGAAGCTCTGGCTTGGAAAGGTTTGCTCAGCCAACAAATGGGGAAGATCTTGGGAATGTCCTCAATCCCTCTCTTTTCTTGATCTTTTCTCTTCCATGGGGGAATTTTGCACTCTGGAGGTTTCTCCAACAGGCTGAGGGCACTGCACCATCAAAGAATTTCACTGCCCTGATCCTGGGAAGTTTGAGCACACAAGGATTTTCTCCCTGAATCCAGAGTGCACCAAAATCCCTTTTGCTGGCAGGGTGAGCATAAAGAATTGCAGGATCTTCTGTTTCAGGGTCACTCTGGAAATCCAGCAGCAGCAGCAGCCAGGGAGGTGTTGCTAGGGAAGTCATCCAGGGAAGGATTGGAATGGCAGAAGTCAGCCTGGCTCCTGCAGCTGGATCTGGGATTTGATCCCTGAAACTCATCCCTGTCCCTTGGTGGGATCAGCTCTGTTTGCTGGGTTGTTGGTAAGGAAGGAAGACTTTGGGATACAAACCAGGGCTGTTGGAGTCAGGAATTTCTCTTAGGATGTCACTGGGTTCTTTCTGCCCAAAGAGTCTCCCAGGACGTGTCCAGCACAGGATCTCCATTCTCTCATGGAATCACAAACTGGTTTGGGTGGGGAGGGATTTTAGGGATCATCCAGTGCCAGCCCAGCCATGTCAGGGACACCTCCCACTGTCCCAGGAGCTCCCAATGTCCAGCCTGGCCTTGGGCACTGCCAGGGATCCAGGGGCAGCCCCAGCTGCTCTGGCAATTCCATCCCAGCCCCTGCCCACCCTGCCAGGGAACAATTCCTGCCCAAGATCCCAGCTGAATCTCCTCCCTCTCAGTTTGAATCCATTCCACTTTTCAGGCTCCTTTTAGGTTCTGGAAAGCTGCAATTTTAAGACAAACCCCCACCCCACAGCTATTTTCAACTTATAGCCTGGAAGCACAAGCTTAAAAATCATCAGCATTGTTTAAAATATGAGGGGTTTTAATTGGCCTTTGAGATTTTTATGATTCACTTCTCTCCAGCTTGGGTGCTGGCAGGATTTTCCTGGAACATCCCACTGAAGAGCCTTTGGAAAAACACAAACTCCAGCAAACGAGATGCTTGATAAGGAGGCAGCACCCATGGAAGAGGGGGAGCTTGGCACTGACAGATTCCACTCCTGAAGTATTCCAGGTTGCTTTCTTCAAGGATGTTTTCCTGGGAGGGGTTGGATGCTGGGAGCTTTAATCCCTGCTGGGCTTGGGTCGTGCTTGGGCTGCCAAGTCAGGCGTGTGTGGAGGGTGCTGCTGGCACGGAGGGAATCTGGCTTAGGAAAATCCTGAGGGGTGTTTTGTGGGATGGTGAGACTCCACTGAATCTGTAAGAGGCCCCCAGCTGAGGTTTGGAGGAACAGAGGAGTTGTGGGTGCTCAGGGAAGCTGTGACTGCTCCCTGGAAGTGTCCAAGGTTGGACAGTGGGGGAGTGGAAGTTGTCAGGGATGGGATGGGATGATTTAAATTCCCTCCCTACCCAAACCATTCCATAATTCCATGTACCCTGACAGTGCAGTGTACTTTATCCCAAGAAGAATCCCTCAGCCACCTCAGCAGGG